TTAGAGACATGGTGAAAGAATTTTCAAAGACAAAAGTCAAAGATGGCTACAATCTACATATTGGCACGCATATCAATTTATTTGATACAACGTTATTATATTTACTCATACTCAATTAAAAGGTACGTATATATATATATATATATATATATATATATATATATATATGTATATATATAATTCTTACTCGAACATAACTAATTAAGACCCTAATAATCAAGACACCATCATCTCCATTAATGTTATGTACTATATAGTTAGTAGTTACATAATAATTTTAGCCTATTTACTTCTTATTTCTTTAGGGAAATGTAAACGATATTAGTCAAGAAAATATATTTAAAAAGATCGATGAAAAGCTTTGCGAGTAATTTTTACGACTCTGTTAATAAAACAGTAACTCTCTGTTAACGAACGGTAAAGGGTTCTAAAACTAAAGGATTGGATAAAGCTTCTTTTTTGTATTATTATTAAATAAATCTTATTAAATATTGTCTAAATAAATGGCACTTTAGTCGCGAAATAACCAACAAGCACCTGATTAGGCTTTTAACTGTCCTAATAAAGAAAATAAAAAAAATGTGCGAATCGCTAGAAAATACCTTTAATTTAGTGTTGTAATTATTTTTTTAAGTTCTTCAGATTTCATTAGGTATTTAAACATATTGAAAGTTTAAAACAACTCTTAGAAATGTATACACTGTATATTATAAATAAAATTAATTCTCATACATAATAAATATTTTAACCATGGAATGTAATGCATTTCTGCATACCACCTGCACATATAGAGGTGGTAATTGGGACTCATTGGTTGGAAAGCCAGTACTCTCCGTCTTAATAGGCTTACACACTCAACAACGATACTCCGACGGCTAGCCTGCCGAAGCAGACCGCAACAACAAAGGGTGCCAAGGTCCATTCTGCTATCAGGGAAGTACCAGCAATACATATTACATCACCCGGGCCGTCTCCCAGTGTGACAATTGGTTTTACATCCGGCTGGATTGCCGGACACTAATTAGCGTGAGTGTTTCTTATATATATATATATATATATATATATATATATATATATATATATATATATATATATATATATATATATATATATATAATAAGTAACATTGCTGATATAGTATAATAAGGATTGCTTTTCAGCTTCCATCTTAAAATTGAGTAAGTAATATTGCCGCGAATGTAACTTCACCTAACGACTTTTTTAATATAAAATTATGTACTTTGACATATACTTAATACATTTTAAAAATATTAGGAATATGTATGTATTCAACCCTTTTTATCGTCTCACTGCTGGGCACGGGCCTCCATTCAATAAGGATATAGGGATATCATTCAAACTCTATTTTGTTAATGTCTCGTCATAGTTTAGTACACTTATTGACGACACGTTTGGCTCAGTGTGTAGTGACCCTACTTGCTGTGCCAGCGGTCGCGGGTTCGAGTCCCGCTGGGGGCATTCATTGTGTGATGAGCACGAATGTTTGTACTCCAGTAATGGGTGTTTATATTTATATATGTATGTTATAAATTTAAAGTTTATATATGTGTAGTGTATCAACTATCTGGTATCCATAACACAAGCCTCGTAGTTTACCATGGAACTAGAAGGTGTTGTGTATTAATGTCCCAACATATTTATTATTTATTTATTTTTACTTTAATGTAAGATAATAGATAGCGTGTACAAAGCAAATGCCATTTTACGTACACTATTTATGAAAAGAAAAGAATATAATATTATATTGTTAGAAGAATAGTGAGGAGACGTCATCGTGGAAGTGATGACAAGTAGTGGTGGTGTCGTCGAATTTATATAGACTTGTGTTCGCTTCATTCGCAAGTCGAAACCCTTGTCCGTTTGAAAAGTCAACCTGCCCATTTTATAATTTAGATTAGTATTTCTTTAAATTATAAATACGTTAGAACTCTTTTATTTTTTGTAACTGATTTTGTTTAAATTTCTATTGAAAGTATAAATGTATGTAAGTAGTCGTTATTGTTTTTTTTTAATTCAATTTCACTTCTGGTTCCTAAAAATATGTTGATTCGTGTATTATTATTATATTAATATTTCTTATCTAAATTATAAAGTCCAGCCGTAGGTTACACAACTTTTATTTATAAATCTTCCACTTTTCCGCAAAAACTTATTCAATTCCTGTTATATACAAACTGTTCTTTGAATGCAAAACGATCACATAATAATAATGTTACTTCAAATTAATTCTTTCAAGTTGTTTTCGCGTGAAACGAAATTAACACACAGACAGACGTACAATATTTGTTAAATTATAGCATAAAAGAAAATTTGCGGCTCTGTGAAGTTTTGGAAATCGATATTTTTAATTCTACAGGCTCTTTTTTTGCTGACCCCTGGTAAAAACTGTAAACTATTAATATTTATAGACCCAAGTGTTATGATCTACAATATCTGTTTACTTAAACGTGATTTATTAGAACGATTACTTTTATTCACATTTTTATTTCCATGCATTCATTAGCATTTGTTTTGCTATATTTCCATTAAAACGTCAAGTGGACAGTCAAAAACTAGTTGACATCATTCAAAATAAAAAGCCATTTTAAACGTTATTTCAAAATATACTTTATCTTAATAAAAATAACTTTTTTTTTTACTTTGAAATTACTTTTTATAAAAACCTTTTTCTATGAAAGACCTATTTACTTTGAAGTATTATTGACAGTATTTTTATTTGATTTAAAAATAAATTTGAGGAAAAGAAAACAATTACACGAGTAAAGTGTTTCTAATAATTAAAAAAGCCTAGCAACTTTTTTGATTGATTTTACGTAGGAGAAAGAAGTAAAGGCAGTGGTAGCCCAGTGGTAATATGCTCGCATGGGAAATCGAGTGAATCGGGTTCAAATCCCGGGTGTCGCACCTCTGATATTTTCATGTGCGAATCATTTCTAACATGATTACCACTTACCTTACGGTGAAGGAAAACATCGTGAGGAAACCTGCATGTCTGAGAGAACCTAACAAGTTTTCGAAAGTATTAAAAAGAGTCATGGATACTTAAAATTAAGGTGATCAAATAACAAATACCCGTATGTGCATTTCATCAAAACAAGTCAAGTTAATACTAAGTATAAATTGAGCCCACATGAACCATTTAGTAACCTATGCATTACGGTATTTAAATTGATTCTATTTTTATTATTGCACATTGATATAATGAATAAATAGTCAATACATATAATAATAATAATATATAAACATGAATTAGCTGGAAAACTGTACGAGTCATCCATCCTGAGGGACAGAATGTGATGCATATTCGAAGTACTAAAACTACGTGCGCGTGATATATCTACATATCTGTCATAAGTATTCTTTCAATATATTTATATAACATAAGTAAGATAATATTCTTAGGTATTGAGGTATTGAGTTACTCAACAGAGTGCAAGGTATCCATCCCCCTTATGTTAATCTACCGCGCTTGAGTAAATTCGAAAATCCCCTCTTGTACTCCCCTACTATTAATAAAGTATATTCATTGCACTTATCTTCTAAAACTTTATGAAAACTTTAAGTGTTGAAAATATATTTGCAATGTTTCAAGAATAAAGATAAGTAGAACGTAATAAAATATTTTGCTTGAAAGTTTTAAAATTTTCATATAGAAGTTATCTTTGAACATATTTGAACAAAACTTAAGTGAAAATAATTTACAATAAGTTAAATAAGTTTTAAGTTCCTACCAATTATTAAAAAAATAACACCAATTAGTAATTAGTAATTTTTTCCCGCAAGAAACAGTGTAGGATTGCGAGAAAATTGCGGGAAAACAGTAAAAAATGTTTCTACCCTAAAATATGTCTATCATATCAATCATATATAATAATATTATTTGCGGTTTAATTATGCACTGATAGAAGAATTACTTACTACTACTGAAAAATTTAACCTATATGCACTCACAATTATAGGAGAACACAACATGCTTCATATTTTATAAAAATAATTCAAAAATTTACATTATATTAAAGACTACTTAAAATTTTTTTAAACAATAATAATAAAAATAAAACTTAAGAATACATACACAATTTACTACAAGTATTATATTGTACTGTAACAATTCTCACATTTTTTGGTAAACACTGACAGGCTATCATGTCCTATGTCTAAGTCCGAGTCACGGGTCGCACACAAGTTATATGTAATCGACATACGAACCAGCGGCGCGTTCCTACCTAATTTAATTTTACAAGCGCCATATGTAAAATATGCGCGTATATTAAAATAATAGTACCCTTTTATTACTACATAACAAGAGTAAAAAAATAAGACACAATAAGTACTTACAGTGGCAATTCTTTCCATCCTATCTAGAAAACTCATCTCAAATGTGAAATGCTCCAGGCTTTACTATATTTAGTTGTCCTAATTTATTTTTCTACTGAGAAGACTATGCTCTTTCCTCTATATTTTTAAGATTTATTTTTCAAATAAATGAGCTTACCTCCTAACTGTTTATGCTCGTAAAGTATATAGCGTTACGTCAATGTCGGCGCATTATGTTTGTTTTGTTTCATCTTTTAATAATATAAAGTTTTATACGCATTCATTATGATTCAGTTTTTACAACAATTTCGCATACACCAGTGTGATTTAAGATCGTATGTAAGCCATATGTTAGATACTACAATGTACTACATTTATGATATAAAAGACTGTCCTACCGACTGCCGGCTCAAGACCTTGATGCTATAATAAGATATTCCAATATCACAACAGTTTTATTTCCTGACAGAAAGATAAATATTCGATCTCAAGCGCCTACGCGTCCTTGAAATAACTATGAGTATATGAACGGATCTAGTGCTCGTGCTAAATAAAATGTTTTTTGTTACAGATTATGCAGTTAGAAAGAATAATTCAAAATAAGAGAGAGTGCGAACTTGCTGCACCCCAATGATTGAACAAATTGCGAATGAATTGCTAGAATGGCAAACGCGACGGATGCGTATTGCGTACCCGGCGCTACCAATTTCAATAAAGCCTACAGTCGTCTACACGGATATATCGCCATAGTAATATGTATTATCGGCTCCGCCACCAACTCAATAAATATAGCCGTACTCAGTCGCCGGGAAATGATCAGTTCTACAAATTCGATTCTCACAGGACTTGCTTTTGCGGATCTCCTTGTCATGTTGGAATATATACCTTACGCTTTACATATGAATATCAAAATAGGCCCACAGGTGAACAAAAATACATACTCATGGGCGGTTTTTGTTTATTTCCACTCCATTTTCAGTCAAACCTTTCATACGATATCAATCTGGCTAGCTGTCACGTTAGCAGTTTGGCGTTATGTGGCCATTGCTTTCCCGCAGAAAAACAGAACTTGGTGTAGCAAGAAAAACACGACTTTGGCAATCGTTAGCGCGTATGTAATATGCCCTTTTTTGTGTCTCCCTATTTATTTTGCGATGAATATAGTATCAAGTGAAGTAACTCCACAAAACAATTCACAGTTTGCAGAGGATTTATCTTTACCGCAAAACAGGACCGTGTATGTGTTAGAAATGTCAAAAAATAAACATTTAGTTACTGCTATCATGTGGATTTATAGTGTTATTTTGAAGCTAGTGCCTAGTATAGCTTTGTCAATATTAAGTACTTGTTTGATTTCAAAGTTAACAACAACGGAAAGAAGGAGGCAAAAGCTATTAAAACGATCAACGATTGGATCCAATGAGGCAAGTATCATTTTTATTTCTTTTAAGACTCGAATATCTGCTTAATAAAAATAAATTATATTTTAATGATATTCTGCGTGATATATTTTTAATTTACAACTTTATTATTTAAGTTACAAATGAATTTTTAAAGGTTTAATCATTTTAATCTTCACGTTTTCCTTATAAAATCTTGATTATATAAAACTAATATGTTCTCAACTTATACAGTTTTAATTAAATATATATTCATTATTAATGTATATCTAATTAACAAAAAATATTCAATTTTTTTGTTTTTTTTTTATCTTTGTGCCAATGTTTGCTCAGTGCATGGTATGTGTCAATACACAATACCTCATTTTGTATTTTCTTACTAAGCGTAATAAATAGTTGACGAACAAATAGATTAATATTATTCAACTTTACTAAAAATTCAAATTTTTTTTTAGTAAAAGTCAAAAATATGCAATTCAGTTCAATTCGTTTGACATTGGTTTCTAAAAAATATGCAATATTTTTGTAAATTAACAGTCATTTTCTTGCGATAATTTTACTTTTCAAGTTCTTATTTTTTAATATAGAACTTATATCTTGAACTGCTCTCAAAAATTATAAAAACATAATATTTTTTATACTATATTTTGAACCGACTACTACCGAGTTACATTATTATAGGTATGTTTCCAAGTAATACAATTAATAAAAAGGGAAGTGCCTCGAGCAATGTTCGTAGAATCGATTATGTTAAAATGGTGTACCAACACTATAACGACAACACAATGAGGGTGAAAGAAAAAAGTCACGTTCTAGCATTTCTCTCACGTACAACATGTAGTTAAAACGTACGCTTCTTTCCGTAGGTACTAAGTAAACAAAGAAAACAAAGCAACACTTCACTGCCTTCTACCTTCTTCCTTATTTCTTTTTATATTTATGTTTGATAAACCATATTGAGAACTTATTTAGCTTATCTTTTTCAATAAAACTAAATCCATAACCCACTGTGTGGTAGTTAGTCTACTACTGTGTGGTAGTAGACTGTTAGATTATCTATACATATAATAAAATCGTAACTAAGCCGAATCTGTACATTGAATATTTTTTGGAAATCTTATTGAAATAGACTTTGTTATCGATACAGAGGCCGACTCTATAGTTTTTAGAATTTTTGTCTGTCCGTCCGTCCGTCCGTCTGTCTGTCTGTTACCGCATCATGGAAAAACCACTGGAGGGATTTTGATGAAATTTGGTATGATGATAGCTGGTTATCCGGGTCAAAATATACGATACTTTTTACTGCGGATAAATATCTCATTTCTGAGAAAAAATCCAAAAACTACAATGTAAGAGTATACTAATATGTAAAACCTAAGAATTTGGTTTTTGGTCATCTGAACGTGGGCGGAGCCGCGGGCAATGCTAGTAATATATATATAAAGCCGTAAAAATAAAACGTAAAAATAAAGATATGCCCCTTTAATATAAATATGAACAGTTAAATTAGCATTGTTCAAATAACTATGTACTTTCAACTTAAAACCCACGTAACGAAGTTGTGCGTTGGTGAAAATCGAAAAATACCATTAGCCATACACGCAAACTTCAATATGAAACTAAAACTGTGAGCAATTATAGCAAGTGATACTTTTACTATCTATCGGTATTAAATGTCTCTTATAACACTACACACCTACGATATTCCAATTATGTGTGTTCAATTATGTAATGGAAATGAGATATCTCCATAACCTTTCGAATAGTTGTGAAATAAGCCACTTAGAAACAAGATCTCGCATAATATTACGTCTGCGATATTTATCGTACGATTTCATGTTAGAGTACTTAATAATCCAAGTGATTATAGGTGTTTTGTAAAGTTTTGAATAATAATAAAATATAGGTATTCATTTTTTGTATGTTTTCTTTTAAACTTTGACGTCAGCAGTGACGTCGAAACGTAGCTCTAACAACGTTTTAGTGCTATTATAAGTCAAAAGCGTGAAATTAGCCTTGGCGTCAATGTATAAAACGATTATTCGTTTGAAATGTTTTTTCCTTAATCAGCGTTTAAATAATATACAAATACCTACAAAAAAGCCATTCGACTGTTTGTCTGTCCGTTTGTCCCTTGATTGTACTTCACAGATAGGCGTATAGTAAAATATGATGAATAATTTATTTAAATTCACTAAGTTAGAGAAGTATTTGTAAAAGTACCTACACAATATAATATAATATAAAACAAGGCCACACTTACTGCACAGGAAAAATATAACTCACAAACAAAATTATATCTCATAGTTTTTTAAAGTTTTTTTTTAATATTTCTAAATGTACGAAACTCCACATTCAGGTAAGTACTCAGTTCAGGTAAGTCCAACTCAATTTTCTTTTAAATTATATATTAAAGTTCCATCAAAACTCGTAGGTTTAATAATTATAGTTATGAAGTGTGTAATCAGTGGTTATAGAATATAGGGTAGCTGTAGAATAAAGAAAGTCTTTGAATACAGAACCGTATTAACTATTAATATTGGATAATTTGGTGTGCCAGCGGTCGCGGATTCGAATCCCGCTGGGGGTATTCATTTGTGTGATGAACACGAATGTTTGTACTTCAGTCATGAGTGTTTATATTTATAATATATATGTATTTAAAGTTATATATGTGTAGTGTATCAACTATCTGGTCTCCATAACACATGCCTCGTGGCTTACCATGGAACTAGATGGTGCTGTGTGTTAATGTTCCAAGTCAAAACATATTTTTTTTATAAAATTTAAACATTCCCGGTTTTTTAGTAGCCGACTAAGAGCTCATGCCATTGGCTTTGCCGTGCCGTATTGCATTTTAATTTTTAACGTCTAGAACATTTTTTTTACCTTTTTTAATCAATACCAAATCTGTTGAATAATAATTTAACAGAGATACTAATTAATTTTTTAGATACTGTTTTTTTAGATAAATATCATTAAAAACAAAATAAAAAACAGTCATGGAGAATATAGAATTTTTAATAGTTACACAGATAGTTTTAAGCTGTCAATTTATTCTGATAAATCGATTATAATGGATTTTCTAGCCACTTTAAAAGTTATGCTGTATATTTTGTTCGCGAGATTAATTACATAATAAATTAAAGTTAACATTATACCTATTATTTGGCCTCAAAATGTATTGGCAGAAGAAAATGCGCTAGAGAAGTATCATTAGTGGTAGCCCCGCCCCGGGTTACTTCATTATGAAAAACCCCTAACGACGGGCTTTGAATAAATTATACGTAATACGCCTATAATGATTACTGCCTTTAAAGTAACCTTCATTTTTATTTCTATTAAGTATCAGTCTGTTTCGTATTCTCTTTGATTAAAAGATACATTAATGTAAAACAAATTAACAAATCTGTTGCTATTAACCCAAAATGTGAAAATATGATTACGTCGTTTTACTCGTGTATACATTCAAATATTAAAATAAATGTGCGATATCAAATATACAATGACATAATTACGTATATATTTGAGGCAGTGGTAGCCCAGTGGCAACGCGCTCACTTGGGAAACCGAGTGAAGCGGGTATAAATCCCGGGTCTCGCATCTCTGATATTTTCATGTGCGAATCATTTTCAACATGATTACCATTTATCTTAACGGTGAAGGAAAACATCGTAAGGAAACCTGCATGTCTGAGAGAACCTAGCAAGTTTTTGAAAGACATGTAAAGTCCACCAACACGCACTTGGCCAGCGTGGTGGACTATGGCCTGATCCCCCCTCGTATTGAAGTGAGGCCCGTGCCCAGCAGTGGGACGTTAAAAAGGTACTGAATACATGTACATAAATGAGTACCCACACAGGAATTTAAATAAAAATTATGTTGTGACATTAACACACAACACCATCTAGTTCCATGGTAAGCTACGAGGCTTGTGTTATGGATACCAGATAGTTGATACACTGCACATATATAACTTTAAATACATACATATTATAAATAAATATAAATACCCATGACTGGAGTACAAATAAATTTAACAAGATTTAAAATGTTAATTAAAATCTTATACTCCCTCATGAGATTTACAGGCTTTTAAAATATTAGACTATCAAATTAGGTTGAGCCTTTGAATTAAGACATACATATCTTTGCTATTTACATTTTTACGTGTTTTTGACCGACTATAAAAAGGAGGTACTAAATTCTTATGTATGTTTTTTGTGGGAAATCTTACTCGAATATCAAATTATACATTTTTAATAAATAGTTTCTATCTCAATAGGCCCCATAAATTACAAAAAAAAGGAATTATGTGTTTCAGTGAAAAAACTTTGAGTTATTTTTAAAATCGGTAAGGTAAATTTCTGCTGTATCTCTTCAATTTTGAAGATATATCTTGTGGTCCGTAAAGTGGCATAGGTTATTTTATTGACACTCTTATATTAACTTCATTTGTAACTAATCAATTGAGTGGCCAATTATTCGGATTTTGTCCACCTACTTCTTTTATTTAAGTTGTATCGAATTGACACTTTGCAAGTAGGTATAATTCGGACTATAATACAATAAACTTTTAATTCTTTATATTAGTTATAATAATTACCATACATTACAATGTTTAAAAGCGGGTTTATTAATTATATTAAGCTGTATTTTTTATCCTGACTCATTTTTTAAATATTTATTCCATTCATATAATATAGTAGCGACTCACCCTCGCTTCGCTCGGGTTTGTATTGGGAAAGTTTGTATTGGGAAGCAAGCTAGGGACGACCCTTGCTTCCCAATACAAACTTTCATCTCCATTTTCACCCCTTTAAGGAGTAATTTCTGGGATGAAAAGTTCTATGTCTATCCCAGGGTCTCAAACTATCTTCTTACCAAATTTCATCTAAATCGGTTCAGTAGATCCAGAGATTACCCCCTACAACCTCACAAACTCACAAACTACCTCTTTATACATAATATTAGTATAGATTATGTAACTCTGTTGCTTAAATAATCAATTAAGCTTACATATTTTGAGTAATTATCTAGATTTGATATACTCTTACCACGTATCTGGAATATTTCAGATATGAAATCTCATTATGTAAGGGACTTTATTTGACAGAAAACTCGCCCAAACACGAATTTGAAACAAATATTCAAAAAGGTAAAGTACTAACTTGACTTCGTTATAGCTTTTACGGTTATAGCTGACACGAACGTGTAGATTACATAGTATGTTATTATTTTAGGCCAATGTTAAGTTTTAATACGTGCAAATTACTTGCAATTAGGTCAAGTTCACCCGCATATCTCTTGTTAGAAAAACAATAGTGTTTAATATATATAGTATAGATTTCTCAGAGATGAAATATTTTCTAGAGGTAAAAGTATTCTAAATTTTGACGCGGATAACCAGCTATCATCATACCAAATTTCATCAAAATCCATCCAGTGGTTTTCTCGGGATGCGTTTCCAGGCAGACAGACAGACAAAAATTCTAAAAACCATAGATTCGTCCTCTATATCGATAATAATGACTATTTCAGTAAGATTTTCCAAAAAATATTTAATTTACAGATTTGGCTCAGAATTTTATTATATGTTTAGATCTATAGATTAAATAGCTTATTAAATTATAAATTTTCAAAATGCTCTATAACATATTCATTGCTTGATTTATTTACTTCATTGTTATATATAGGTATCAAAACTTTGTTTACGAATATGTACATCCTAAATATTTTATAAATTACTATATAATTATTTTGTGTCTCGTAGCAATCTACTGTCATTTAATTTGGGTCCTAATTAACGTGCGAGGTCCTACAGTAAGTTTTCGCAATTCCCGCAGGACCAATGACAGGTTTAAAAGGTAGAGTCGAGACTACTTTTATTCTACTAAGTACTAAATGAATCAAGATCGGCATAAAATTTACACCTTCAAACACATATTCGTATTTTAAATAGAAGTAAGGATTATTTAACGCCTATTATAATAATAGATCTAGCTTTACACAAATGCTAGAGAATGTCAGTGATCCATTCCATCCCTGATACAATTTACTGGGTCAAACGTTAAGCGCTACATCGTGGTGAATGTAATAAATAGAAATTCTCTCTATTAATTCGTCCAGCGCATGAACCAACCATATTAACCCAGAAGGCCTCGCTACGACCAAATTCAAGTGGATAATTTTCACATAGTATAATTTCTTATAAAACATACAAATGAGATGCGAGACTCGGGATTTGAACTCGTTTCACTCGATTTCCCAAGCGAGCGCGTTACCAGTGGGCTACAACTACCTTATTAGTTATTACCGCTTCTATATAATACCTATATGTTTAATATATAGTGTATGTATTACTTACACATGAAACTAATTACTTAATTACTAATTAGGTTATATACTGTACTAAAAGCTTTAAGCCATGTTACTTTTAATTACTGTATTTAGTTAAAAGCATTATATGGTTGTTTTCACAAATGAAATATTTTTCATTTTACACTAATAGGAAGTGATTCATATTTCTTGTGTTATAAATATCACTTCTGTTTCTTACCTGCGACTTAACCCGCTTGTGTATTTCATTACCAATTAACTTACCAACAGCTAAATGCTAGAGCTAAAAAAATAATTTAGTACGTAGGTAAATACGTATATTCAAAGGCTTCGCAATATATTCTTATTAGGGTAGGGTATTCTTTCTAGGGTTCCGTACCTCAAGAGGAAAAAACTTAGTTGTCTGTCCATTTGTGCGTCCGTCAAGACCCTTTTTGTCAGAAAGCCGTAAAGGTATCAAGTTGAAATTAACATCAAATACTCAGATCTACAATCTCTAGAGTCTATAAAAAAATAAAACTTCTAAGCTAGCACAATCAAAAGATATGGCCATTTGCCTATGTCGCATGTTTTGATACACGCTAGAAAACTCGAAAGGAAACCAAAACGTATAGGGTGGTTCCCGTTGACTTAGAATCATGTAATTTGGAAAGAAGAATTGTCTTATAGCACAAGTAAAGGCAAAAATTCGAATCATATTTTTGCGATTACAAACTTATATTTGCTGTTGATAAGCTCACCGCCGCCTATATCAATGTAAGAACTAGAGTTTACTAACGGCAAAGTAAAGTTTGTCCTACAACACACATTATCTTTTCGTTAGAGCAATGTTTTGTGCTTTTCGTTCCATCCGTGATAGACGAACTATTTACACACCCACAAGTTTGTACGGATCCCTCGGTATCCGAGTTAGACTCGCACTTGTTCGATTTTTTTAATAAATACGTATATACCTCAAGAGTGGTATCCCAAAGGGTAGAATTTAATAAAAATCACATTTATGACGTACCTTTTTAATTAAAAAGTAGTAATTTTAGCGTCACTTAATATTAAAAAACTAATAAATATTATTAAGATACAATCTTGACATGACTATTTCATTCAATGAAAATATATTTTTAAAGCTTCAGCTGGGCACAACACTCACGCAAAGCAAATTAGTAGAGTTTGAAATTAATGGGTAACTTGCCCACACAAGGTCTACAATTTGCAAAATTTCTATATATATAAGTATTAATATTGGAATGAACAATTTAATTATTACGTGCGTTTAGCTGTAGGCTATAATTATATTTTAACTTTGCTAGTTCACTCAACTGTTATTAACTTCACACAAAATTATTTGACGCTATTTAACTTGCATATTAACAGGTTTCTATCATTTAACCAGACCAGAGATCAAAAGTAATAATTGAAAATGTACTTGCTCTCAGTATAAAATATAAACAATTACTTTATATAACGCTATTCGAAACTATTTTATAACTAAAAGCCTAAAGAGAATTAGGTATACTAGAAGAAAAATTCTGATATTAAAAAATACACTTTTGCTTCTCTACTTTATTCGATTTTCGTTAAATTTTTATTATGTTAAAATATCTACATAAAAAATCATTAGTATTTAAATATGTTTCTTAAGGTAAATATCATTGCCCTATATTATAAAATATAAAGAAATAAAAAATTTAAAGGGTTATTCATTGGAATTAATATGTTATTAGTATAATGTATTCATAGTGAAAACCAAAATTAATGTAAATATTATTACGCGTCACATAAAAATCATAGAACTCGACGTGACGTGACTCGACATCGATTACCTATTCACCACAAAATTGAATGTCACATACAAGAAGCAGAATTGACATGTGACCATTCAGACGAAAGTGGCCCAAAAAAAAAATTGTGTTAGAAAAAAATGGGTATTTCCTACATTTTCATGTATCATCGGCTTGTTTTATGAACAAAACGAAGCAAAAATATGGAAACTTCTTAATTACAAGCTTTTATTTAACTTGCAAAGTTTGTTAGTTTGTTATGTAATTTGTTTGTGAAGGTAAAATTTTGCAAGCTGAATTAGAACCATTTCCTCTTATCCTACAGTGTTTTAACTGCCTCGGTGGTGTAGTGGCTAGCATGTACGGCTGCACACCCGGAGGTCCTGGGTTCGAGTCCCGGGTCGGGCCAAGTTTAGTTATTGAGTCTTCCTGTATAGTAAGTCTCAGTAACAGCCCGGAGTTGGGAAGTTGGCGGTGTTTCACCCCCGTGCCTCGGAGAGCACGTAAAGCCGTCGGTCCTGCGCCTTAACTCTCACCGGTCGTATCGAGTGGTCGTCCCACCGCAGTATGAGAGTGATAGGAATAGAGAGTGCACTTGTGTCTGCGCGTGCACTTGAGCACTATAATATCTCCTGCGCAGTTGGTTAATCTCATTGAGATTGGCCGCCGTGGCCGGAATCGGCTAGGAGAACATCATCATCATACAGTGTTGAAATGTTATATGTTGGTTCAGTTCGAAGGCAATGAATTTTTATGATAATTATGAATGGATACTCTATCTACGGTTGGCTCTGCATCAAGCAAATCCTCAACGGTTAACAAATAGATACATAATTTTGATTCGATGTTCAATAATTAATAATTATATTTTCTATCAGCACACGTAAGATGCTTGTTATCAAAGATATAAAATACTAGCGACTCACCCTCGCTTCCCTAGTAGTCCCTAGCTTGCTTCCCTATACAAACATCCATCATTTTTTTCATCCCCATTTTCACCCCCTTAAGGGATGATTTCCGGGATAAAAAGTATGCTATGTCCTTTCCAGGGTATCAACCTATTTTCTTACCAAATTTAATCTAAATCGGTTCTGTAGATCCAGAGATTACTCTCTACAACCTCACAAACTTTATCTCTATATATATCATATAGAATTTTATATAGGTATTCAAATATAGCCAGTTGTTTAGTTGGCTTGTAAGGCTTTATGTAATGAACATACATTAAATATCATACAACACAGTCGTGTAAAAACGATGACAGAAAGGATCATTAGTACTTAACAGAATATGTTGTGTCGCATTGATTATAGCTAGTGTTTATTTCCAGCCAGAGAAGCAAACCTTAGCTGAGGAGTCCTCGGCGCGGCGGTCGAGCCGGACCGATCGGACAACCCGCATGCTGCTGGCCGTCCTTGGCCTATTTCTCTCCACGGAAGTACCACAAGGCCTGCTCGGTCTTGCGAGTGCACTAGCGCCAGATTTCTTCAAAAGCTGTTATAGTTTATTTGGTAAGTGTATAGCAACGAAAATAGGCGTAGCAAGATAAATAAAAAATTACGTTTAGTCTAATTAGAACTACTGTATAGTGTATAAAATACTTATACTATATAAAGCACCCCTAAAGTTATATAACATGTACCTACCTACATTAAGACTAGAAAGCAAATTAATTTTCAATATATCTATTACGAACCCATTATTAAGCCATTATATTGTAATCTATAAAGCAATGATGATGTCTAAGTAAGCCACGTATAACATGATACCAGTTATATTACGTACATATATTAAAGAGGTAGTTTTCAATTATATTAGAACTACTTGTTACCATTAAATTAAAAATTAAAATCATATTGAAGTCGCCCAGTTATTCTCGATACACCTTCTAATACATTTAAAACTGGCCAATATCGAGTCGAAACGCACAACATATTGGTATGTATTTATTAGCAAAACAAACCTTTCACTGCACAATTTTCTAAACTTTTTTTGAATGCAATTGACATGGTTTTTGATGTAAAACATCTATTTGTGCGTCTTGGCAGTAAGTTAGCGTGGTGTGTGGTAAGCGGTGGCGTGACGCTGTCATGCCATTATGCCCCATATACGCCACTATTCTCAACTCCTTTGTGTGTGCGTGTGCGTATACTATACACGCTCCATTGCAAAACAGTCTCTATTAAAAATACTTACATATTTTCTATTTTGTTTATGTATATATATATAATCCATTATTATTATTACGAGTATAATTAAAATAATAAGACAAATATATTTATCTTATTAACGATTTTTTTTTATTTTACTTCATATTTCGTATAGGAATTTTATTAATTATTAACTCTAATATTAACGTCAATGTTTTCCATCTGCCGGGCGTCCCGTAACGGCCACCTTTTTTTATTATGAACTAGCGACTCACCCTCGCTTCGCTCGGGTTAGTCCCTAGCTTGCTTCCCCATACAAACTTTCATCCCCATACTCACCCCCTTAAGGGAGTAATTAAAACAAAAATATGTAGTTATATAAAAAAAGTCAACATTATGTCATTGATCAACTTTTTTTTCATAAAATAGAATATAATATATACTGATATATATATATATATATATATATATATATATATATATATATATATATATATATATATATATATATAATATATACTGAATATATTTTGTATACGAGTATAATTTGGATTATATTTAAACTAGCGACTAGATTTTCTCGGGTGCGTCCCTAGCTACATTTTAAATAGATAGAGATAGTTATTGAGTTTAAGAGACAGACTTATGGTATTGCGGAGTTTACTAAAGGCCTTTTTAAGACCTACAATTGTCTAGTAAATTGTATTGATTGTATCTTAAGGTTTAGATAGCGTTAGCCATGTAAATCTCACGGCCGACTCGATAGAAACTGTTATGATGCTTTCTCGTGAGAATAAAAGATTTCTGTAGCAAAAGGTATCCCTAATGTTGATCCGAGTAATAAGTTATCACTACAAAAAATTTAGTTGAGATCGGTTCAGTGCTTTTTGTGTACAACTTGCGTAAAAATCCACACAGACCTACAGACAGAGAGAGGTCTATATTCTGCACACAATACGTAAGTCATTGTTTTTAAAAAAAATATTTTTAATACAGGTGTCGTTTTGTTAGTATTTATCATAATAATATGCTATATACATATATGTAAGTAGGTACTATCTCCTGTCTACGGATTAAATCTAGTACACTTACATATAAAATATTTTATATGTGTGTGTAGGGACACACTACTACAGGTTTGCATACCATGCACTAGTTGTGATATAATATATAATGGCTTGGAATGCGCCGTTTCGCCAGTCACGGGGAAATCGGGAAGCGAACGGTCGCATCCTTATTGTTATTAGTATATACCGTAATTGAAAGAAATAATACATATATATCACTCACAAAACTTTTATTTGCCCCGATCCCCGTGCCTCAATATGTGTAACAGAGGTGTAGAATACAGAATATAGATAGATAGATAGATAGATAGATAAATTCTTTATTGCACGCACAAAAGAAGAGTACAGAAGATAAAAATAAAAAATAAATAACAAAGAGGCATGCAAAGGCGGTCTTATTGCTACGAGCAATCTCTTACAGACAACCTTTGGTGAAAGGATTAGAAGAATCGAAGACGGGACGTTATAATTAACACTAAATACAGACATAATGAACTACGTTTACAAACACGAATACATACATACATACATATAGATACATAAATACATATAAATATATAGTATATACATATATACTCAATAACTAACAAGACAGATAATAATTAGTTAGACGACGTTTAAAAATATTTAGTGAATTTGAATGGCGAACATCATGGGGGAGCATATTCCATAGCTTTGCAGCTTTTACGGTAAAAGAAGTACCATAGTAATTTGTGGTGCAAGATGGTAATTTCAAACGGTTGTCGCTCTGAGACCTAAGTTGCAAACCAGAGACGTCCGAACCTAGAAAATTAAACCGTTTCTTTAAGTAAGAGGGAGTAGCTACTTACGGTATTCGGAGATGTGGTCGAATTTACGTAAACCAAATATAAATCTGATGCACATATTCTGCAAACGTTCGAGCTTGTTAAGCTGTTCCTCTGAAACGTCGAGGTAGCAGCAATCAGAATAATCTAAAATTGGTAGCAGTAGTGAGTGAGCTAGTGCAGTTTTAGTTTTAATAGGCAACAGATTCTTCCATCGCCTCAAGCAACTTATTGCAGCAAACATCCTTCTAGTAACCTCTGCAATTTACACAGTCCAGGAGAAAGAGTTGTCGAAAAACAGTCCAAGGTTCCTGACGGTGTTACTGTATGCTAGGTCGGAATTGCCAAATCTAACAGGGGACAAGGAATTATAATTGATCTTGTTGGTCAACTTTTGGCTTCCAATATTAATGACTTGTGACTTGATAGGATAAACACGGAGCCCATACGTCGTACTCCAGGAATGAATTTTGTGTAGGTCACTGTTTAGCCGTTCAATAGTATTATTGAGTTCACTGGAGGGACCCGCAGCGTAAACCTGTAAGTCGTCAGCATAAAGGTGATAGGGACATGAAAGAAGTGTGGAAATTGTATTGATAAATATAGAAAACAGAAGAGGTGAAAGGACACCACCTTGTGGAACCCCAGCTGAGAGAGGAAAGTAGGTGAGGATTTATTATTAAAATGGACACACTGCTGACGACCGTACAGGTAACTGCTAAACCACCTAATGGCGTCGCTTGACACATTAATGGATTCAAGAACAGCTAACAGGAGTTTAAAGTCAACTGTGTTAAAGCATTACTGAAGTCAAGCAGGGCTACAACGCTGATTAGTTTCTCGCTCATATGAAATCGTATATCGTCGGATACTTTGAGTAAGGCTGTCACAGTGCTATGATCTTTTCGAAAACCAGATTGGTACGGAGAAAGTATGTTGTGGTGGTCTAAATAGCCACTGAGTTGGTTAAACACAATTCGTTCTAAAACTTTCGACAAAAATGGGAGAATGGAAATAGGACGGTAGTGGGAGAAGCAAGAGGGATTTTTCGTCTTAGGAATTGGAATAATGCGAGTAGTTTGCCAGGTAGAGGGAAATTCATTGGAGGAAAGAGAGAAGTTAAAAATATGGGTAAGTACAGGAGTAATGGTATCAAGAAGTAAGAGGATCATTTTGAGATTTATATCATCACTACCAGTAGCATCAGATTTAATTGCTAGGACGTGTTTCTTAACATCGAAATATAGGTAATTAAGTATCTAATATATATAATATCTAGATATATTATTACAATTACTAACCTCCATATTTACATTACAAGCAAAAACATTACCTCTCATTACAAATATAGACTTCAAGTTATCTCTTACAGTTCTTCCGACCGTTTAAAATAAAACTTAGCGATTTTAATTACTATAAAAAGTTTTATAATTAATTATATAAATGTGATTACTTATCCTAAGACTACTTAAAAAGTTTTATAGCAACAACATTAAAAATAGGTCAGATAACAAGTAACGACTTTGCAAATATATTATGATTTAAGAGAGATTTTGCATTTACCGTAAATATAATATTGTCATGTATTCAGCCCTTTTTAACGTCCCACTACCTCGATTCAATACCCCCAAGGGCTTCAATGGCCCCAAGGGCCTCCCTTCAATACGAGGGGGATCAGGCCATAGTCCACCACGCTGGCCAAGTGCGGGTTGGCGGACTTCACATATCTTTCTAAAATTTGCTGGGTTCTCTCAGACATGCAGGTTTCCTCACGATGTTTTTCCTTCACCGTAAGACAATAGTGGTATCCATGTTAGATATGATTCGCACATGAAAATAAAGGTGCGAGGCCCGGGATTTGAACCCGCTTCACTCGGTATTCCAAGCGAGCGCGTTACCACTGGGCTACCACTGCCTAAATATTGTCATACATTTTAATAATAAAATAGTTCTATAAATGACTTCTAAAGTCTTCTATTAAGACCACATACTATAGATTTATGATCAGTTTTTCTTGTTCCATTAATAGATTCGGTGCTACCCAAAGATTAAAATAGATTTTATGGCTGCCTAAATTAATTACCACAACCTCCACGTTACATTAAATATAGCTAAGACGCACGTCATGCGCTGAGAATTCGCTAATAAATTAAACTTGAGTTATTACCTGTTGTAGCGTGAATAAAGTGAAGTAAAAACTTATTTCTCGATTGAAACGTTAAAATGCGTTTAATTGTATCTACGTAATCTCAATTACTAATTTAAATTGTCTTATTGTTAAGTAGACGTCTTTATTGTACATCATATCCTATATCTTTAAACGAGCAATTCTTGTATATACACTGGCGTGCAAAAAATCGGGCCACCTAGAGAAAATGGACAAACTTAAGATATGATATTTTTTATTAATTTTGTTATTATATATGGATAGCTGTATACTCTAGGTACCTAAATCAATAATCATTGTATAATTTAAATAAAAGTTATT